TACATTGTTATGACCGAAAGGTATCATACAGCTTGATCAGCTGCTCTGTACTTTAGATTAAATTTTCCTGTTTATGAGCATAAAGTTAGTTTCTTAAACATATGTTTTCTGTAAAACTATATTCATATATTTTCCAATTGCTCTACAGAATAGATCTAGCATGTCATTCACTGATAGTTAACGTCATAGTTCAGTCAACTAATAACGTTACAGAATTTCAGTTGCAGAATAAAGACTTCACAAAGTTCATTTTATTTCCCAAGATATCAAAGTGCAAACAAAATGTGATCTGTCCCCATTCACATAGCGTAAGGCAGTCATACACGTCAATTGCTGAATATGACAATCTTTCGTAACCCGACTGGAAGCAAATAAAATCCAGTGTAGATACTACTATTATTTCGACGCTTGCCATTCACTTTGTTAGTTTCGTCTCTTCGTGTTGATGTAGCACTAAGACTTGAACTAATGTATATTTGTTCCAGGCTGTACGTTGATCATAACGGACGGACAACACTAACCATATAGAGGTTCTAGTATAGTTAAAAGTAGATGATGTTCGCAGGTTACTGGTGTTCCATAATAGGTGTCTGCGAAGTATTGCTCGTGTATTTTGGGACCACTAAGTAAGCATACTTACTGGGTTAGAAATAGAGTTATAGGTACAGCTGGTAAATCAATTAATAAGGTAGTAAATATTCATCAAATAAGGTGGTTGGGACATGTGCAACGTATGCCCAACCATCACCTACCTCGACGGGTGATGTTTTCTGGTGCAGGAGTAGACATGAAGAAACCCTTACTTACTTACGCCTGTTACTCCCAATGGAGCATAGGCCGCCGACCAGCATTCTCCAACCCACTCTGTCCTGGGCCTTCTTTTCTAGTTCCATCCAATTCTTGTTCATTTTTCTCATATCTATCTCCATTTCTCGGCGTAATGTATTCTTTGGTCTTCCTCTCTCCCTTCGACCTTGAGGGTTCCATATGAGGGCTTGTCTTGTGACGCAGTTCGGTGCTTTCCTCAATGTGTGTCCTATCCACTTCCAGCGCTTCTTCCTGATTTCTTCCTCCACTGGGATCTGATTTGTTCTCTCCCACAGTAGGTTGTTGCTAATAGTGTCCGGCCAACGGATCCGAAGTATTTTGCGTAGACAACTGTTAATAAACACCTGTATCTTTTGGACGATGGATTTCGTAGTTTTCCAGGTTTCCGCCCCATACAGTAGAACTGTCTTGACATTTGTATTGAAAATTCTGACTTTGGTGTTGGTTGCTAATTGTTTTGAGTCCCAGATATTCTTCAGTTGTAGATATGCTGCTCTTGCTTTGCCAATCCGTGCCTTCACATCTGCATCAGATCCACCGTGTTCATCGATGATACTGCCCAAATATGTAAAGGTTTTTACATCTTCCAAAGCTTCTCCGTCAATTGTGATTGGATTGGTACATGTTGTGTTGTATCGAAGAATCTTGCTTTTCCCTTTGTGTATATTGAGACCTATTGCTGCTGAGGCTGCAGCTACACTGGTTGTCTTCTCCTGCATTTGTTGTTGTGTGTGCGATAGAAGAGCCAGATCATCTGCGAAGTCTAGATCATCCAACTGCATCCTAGCTATCCACTGTATCCCGTGCTTCCCTTCAGATGTTGATGTCTTCATGATCCAGTCGATCACCAGGAGAAAGAGAAAGGGTGAGAGTAAGCAACCTTGCCTGACACCGGTCTTTACTTCGAACGACTTTGTCAACTGTCCTCCATGAACGATCTTGCAGTTTAATCCATCATAGGAATTCCCTATGATATTGACTATCTTCTGAGGCACGCCGTAGTGTCGAAGAAGCTTCCATAGGGTTGTTCTGTCCACGCTATCAAATGCTTTTTCGTAGTCGATGAAGTTGATATAGAGTGATGAATTCCATTCAATTGATTGTTCCACAATGATCCGTAGAGTTGCGATTTGGTCTGTGCACGATCTATCCTTACGGAATCCTGCCTGTTGGTCTCGAAGTTGGGCGTCTACGGAGTCCTTCATCCTGTTTAACAATACCCTGTTGAAGACTTTTCCCGGTATTGAAAGAAGAGTGATTCCCCTGTAGTTGTCACAGTTGCTGAGATCGCCTTTCTTTGGTATTTTGACTAGAAGTCCTTCTTTCCAGTCTTTTGGTACCTGTTCCTCATCCCAGATCTTTCTGAAGAGAGTTTGGAGTATCCTTGCAGTTGCCGCTACGTCTGCTTTCAGTGCCTCTGCTGGAATGCTGTCTAGTCCTGCTGCTTTGCCACTCTTGATTTGTCTGATAGCCATGCTGATTTCTTCAATTGTCGGTGCGCCAACATCAATTGGGATGTCCGTGAGTGCTGCTTCGATGTTGGGTGGGTTCAGTGGGGCTGGTCGATTCAAGAGTTCTTTGAAGTGTTCTACCCACCTGTTTCGTTGTTCTTCAATGTTGGTGATTATCTTGCCTTCGTTGCTTTTCACTGGTCGTTCTGGTTTACGGTGATTTCCGGAGAGTTTCTTTGTTGTTTCATACAGTTGTCTCATGTTTCCTTCTCTGGCAGCCTTTTCCGCCGTCATTGCCAAATCTTCCACATATTTACGGTTGTCGGTTCTGATGCTCCTTTTCACTTGCTTGTTTACTTCTGTGTATTCAGCCTGTGCCTTGACTTTTTCTGCTCTTGTTCGACTGGTATTGATTGCTACTTTCTTGTTCCTCCTTTCTTGAATCTTATCCAGTGTATCGACCGTGATCCAATCCTTGTGATGGTGCTTCTTTTGGCCCAGAACCTCATGACATGTTGAAGTGATTGCTTCTTTTATCTCTTTCCAGTTGCTCTCCATAGTAGTTCCTTCTCCATTGAGTAGATCATGAAAGGCTTGGAACTTATTGCTGAGGGTTATCTTGAATTTATTGAGTTTGTCATTATCCCGAAGAAGAGCCGTATTAAATTTTTGTGATATTGTCCTCCCCGTTGTCCAGTGCCTCTTGAGTTTCAATTTCATCTTGGCGACCAGCAAGTGATGATCTGATGCTATATCAGCTCCTCTCTTTGTTCTCACGTCCTCCATCGTCCTCCTGAACTTTTTGTTGATGCAGATATGGTCGATTTGGTTCTGTGTGCTGTGATCCGGTGAAGTCCATGTGGTTTTGTGTATGCGTTTATGTGGGAATATAGTCCCGCCTATGACCAGTTTATTGAAGGCACATAGATTTGCAAATCTCTCACCATTTTCGTTCCTTTCTCCCAGTCCGTGTCGTCCCATGATCTCTTCATATCCGGTGTTGTCAATTCCAACCTTGGCATTTAGGTCTCCCATCAGAATAGTCAGGTCTTTTGTTGGGCACTTCTCGACGATTGACTGCAGCCTATCGTAGAATTGATCTTTAGCGTCTTCATTGTAGTCATTGGTAGGCGCGTAGCATTGGATGACGTTCATTGTAATCCCCGTTTTCTTTGTTTTGAAGGAGGCTTTGATGATCCTTGGTCCATGAGATTCCCATCCTATAAGTGTATTTTGTGCTTGTTTGGACAGCATCAATGCAACTCCTTGTGTATGTGGGGCATTTTCTTGTTCATGTCCGGAGTATAACAGCAGCTCCCCTGAAGCTAGTCGTTGTTGTCCAACTTGCGTCCAATGTGTTTCACTGATCCCAAGCACCTCTAAATTGTATCTCCTCATTTCTGCAGCAATTTGGAAAACTCTCCCAGTCTCCCACATTGTGCGAGCATTCCATGTACCTAAATAAATGGTTGCTCTGGTTGTCAGAAGGGGCATCGGCCTCGTGACTTCCGAAGAAACTCGGCTTTCATCATGAGGCGTCATAATTCTTCTAAACGAAGACCTCCTGACTCCCAAGGCAGAGTTTAAATGGTTTGAATAATTTTTTCTGGTTAGCGTTTTTTTAGCGAGTTAGTTTTGTACGGGATGGGGTCGCTAACCCCATGCCCAACCCTCCTCCTTTATCCGGGCTTGGGACCGGCAGTAGCCCCCGGAAAGGGACTCCAGGCGGAGTTATGAAGAAACCCAGGGGTAGGTAAATCAAAATATGGCATTAGTCCATCAAGTTACTGACAACCGGACCTAGCTATCTTAACATTTGTGGACTATCTAGTAGGAGGCTGCATGTTTATCGTAACCAATGGTCGGAGATTGAATGGCATGGCTTAAAATCGTTTGCGATGGCACAGGCGCATCTATTCTTTGTCTTCCCGTAAATCATGAGGCTCTAAATTCCCCATAACCCTTTTCGTTTTTAATTTACTTATTCTCTCAAATCACATCGTTGCTAAATCTTTCCTATTTTACCGATACTGTTACTACCTCTACTATTCTAGGACTTGGCCTAACAACATCTCTGTGCTATTGGGGTATGGTGACATATATATATATATATATATATATATATATATATATATATATATATATATATATATATATATATATATATATATGCAGGTTCTACATTGTAACTTATTGAGTGACTTTCTAGTGTCACCTAGTAAATTATTCCATCTCAGTCGGTAAAATGTCCGCATGCATCTGATTTTTTCTGTATGCTAATATAATAGTCACTAGCGAATAATTTATAAAGGTGACCGTGTTTTGAGAACTTTTGTTTTTGAATTCCACACTATGGATGTTCTTTATCTGGTAAATAGCTTTCTGGATCCAAAATAGATAATTAGAGTACTATAATATTCGTGCTCGGGGTTCAGAGACGTATAAACTTGTAAGCCTTTATGCATCATATACAGATTGAACAGTGAGATTCCTAATTCTTTAAGACGAGTCAATTAATGTAACTCGTTTACCAAATATAGGTCGTTGTGATCGACCACACATTTCTGATTCACTTGTAACCGACTATCTTATATATATATATATATATATATATATATATATATATATATATATATATATATATATATTCTGGCATTTATATGGTACATCTTATTTATTTGCTTATTTATTTAAGCACATAAACATTGATACAGGGAAGCACCAAATATATATGCGCCACACAAATCTAATGGTTTGTGTGAGGGCTGTAATACTGCCCGGGTGCCTAAACCGAAGCAGGGAGAGTGAGAATGTAACTCAATAAATAAATGTTCTATCGTTTACTAACTTCAACTATACCTACCAAATTGGAGAGGATTTGATAGTAATAATATCAGAGTAATAATTGAGCTGAAACAAGCTATACATGATCTCAGACAAACAACTGCGCTATCGATGAGAATGCTGACCGTATATACACTGAAAAAGTCAAGAATGTTCAACTACTAAATAACATAACACAGAAAAATTGAGTCACATTTTTACGTATTTTGTGTTCTCTATCTCATCAAATCCTCATTGCTATGTATTTAATACCCCCTGGTATTAATGATTGTGTTCAAATAAATAAAACAAATAATTCCATTATATAGTTCGTGCTGTTTTCTTAATCCTTGTTTCTTTATTCAGAGAATTGTGCATTCATGACGGGAACAGTGGAAGCTGGGAATAATGAGTCGGATGAATCTGTTGAGGCATGGTGGGAGAGTTTTTTAAAGCAAAAGCTTGCTGATGACGAGTTAGATGTAGAGCTCCGGTCTGCATGGGAGAACTGTGTTCAGAGACGAGCTAAATTTGCTCAAGAAGTCAAACGAATAATGGAGTTATATCAACCAATAGAGAAGTTACTTAACTCTACACTTAAATCCGATCGTGAACAACGAGGTCAAAGTCTCTATAGAGAATGGGGTAATACTGTTAAAACTCAACTTTGTATTTATTTTTCGTGTGCACCCTGACTATATATATGCGACAGAAAACAATCAATATGAAAGTTTATTGAGTCTCCCATAGTATACATATTTAGGTCATTAATCTATTTATAATAAGATTACTTCATGTCGATGAATAACGGGGAATGTGCCCAAACGTTACAATGTTGTGGCTTATTGACTTAAACAGTTGTCTTTTAGTCATTTGGTTTCTACCTTAAACCCTTTTATATGCATCTTGACATGGCGTTACAGGCTCAATTTTTAGTAGCAGTCAATTTTTGAGTTCGTAAAGGTAAAGTAATGCATGAAATTACCTTTTCTGGCCAAATTAATGTTGTTACTACCATTAAGGGAATTTAGACTTGTGTATATTACCATGGCTTTCGTTGCACGGAGAAATCATATCATCCTTTCAATATTAGAAACTACCTATGAATTGCTAGTTTTTACATTTCCCAATGGTTCACTATCTAGAGTAAACACAATTACAAGTTCTCAATTCTTTACGAGTGCTTTGTCTTTTATGGGTATAAAACACGTACCGTGTGGACTCTTTTTACTTGTTGACTGAACGTTATTTATGCAATCAGTATTTTAATTATTCATTTGAACACATAAATATTGGTACAAGGGGGCACCAAAAAGATATGCACCATACAAGTCACTTGATTTGCGTGTGGGCTATGATACTTCCCGCGTTCCCAAACCGAAGAACGTGGTTTTCTTAGGAGGCCACACCCGGAGCCTTCGACCTTAAGCTCTAATCCGCAGGGAAGTGAAGCAACGTCAACAGATGCAGTCGCATGGTAGTCGGTGACCAACATTAGGTTCATACACCTTCTCATCCCTAGGAATCCTGAAGCCGATGTGTAACATTGGTTTGGAATGAAGGTTTTTCAACTTCTTTATGTGGATCCTTCATAATCACCAACCCGGTTAAAGCATCGGACATTCGCTTGTCATCCTCTCAATTTCGTAAACAACATCGTCGCCGCGAATTAGTGAATAGGACTTCCCTGTAAGTTGCTGTGTATCCTAGACTATGTGAAAGCATTTTGGAGAGGGAGAGCTAAATTTTTCCCACACTATTGGCCGTACCAGGGAATTTGGGGGCAGATTATGTTATGTTTAGTTTCTAATTGATACAAAATTTTACCAATAAAACTTTATTAACTATTGTACTTCTCTTTTTTCTTTTCTCATATATTTCTATAAATTGGTTAAATTTCTAAGATGCTTCGTTTTTATTTTACCAGGTAAAATACGTCGAAAAGAATGCCTTCTAGCTTATTACGATAATGACACATTTCGAGCTACTTATACTAGACAACGTTATATAAATAGTTCTACAAGTTTCCTTCAGGTAAAAGAAACTCAAATATATTTTTATTTGTTTTTCCAATAAAAAGTTTGTGGTTCTCCTTTATAATAACTATCTGTCCATTAATTTTTAATGGTATAATCTTTTTAAACGAGGGGGGGGGGAGCTTTTTTGTTTATTTTTATGAACATTATAGCTTTTGTTGTAGTGAACTAAAGACTTAAGAAAACTAACAGACTTATACATGCAGTAGTTAGGTGCTTCTTAGTTCCATAAGGCTATAGTGAATCAATCATTTCTCAATAAACGTTTTATGAGGTTATTATTATTTATTTATTTTAACACATAGATATTGGTACATGAAGGTACCAAATACATATGCGCCACACAAATCTCAATTGATTTATGTGAGGGCTGTGATACTGCCCGGATGCCCAGACTGAAGCAGGTGGTTTGCTTAGGGGACCACACCTCGAGCCTTCGACCTGAAGATGTGATCCAAAAGGCAGTGGAGCATCGTAAGGAGATGCGGACCCATGGTAGCCGGTGACCAACGATTGGTTCATACGCCATTTGTTCCCTCAGGATCCTAGAGCCAGCCCATGTGCACCATTGGTTTGGGATCCGATTAAAGCGCCAGACATTCGCTTTTCGTCCTCTCATTTTCGTAAACAACACCCGTAGTGCGAGAAGGCAGTGAGCAGGACTTCCCTGGCAGAGGCTATATACACGTGGCCATGTGAGTGCATTTCGAGAGGGTGAGCGGACTCTCCCTACTCTCGGCCGTACCAGGGGATTCGGGGGCAATGTTACACACCATCACCCTTCACACCACCGACTGACCTGTCCGGTCGACTGGTTGTGAGCAGTGAGCTTTGGAGGTTCCGGGGTCATTAGGAATCTATTGTTAGCATAATACTTTCGTGAGAAAGTTACACATAAACTACCCTAATATGATATGTCAACATTCATAAGATATCATTGAAGTTATTAAAAATGAAGATAATAAACAATCTATTACTACTTACAAATGTTTCATGTATTATGTATACAAGTATGATGATGCATATATATGTGTGATATCAATAATATTGGCAACATCTATTGTCGTATGGTTTATAGCTTTTTTCCATTTATTAGTGTTCAAAAAAGTGAAAATATTATTTAGTATTCAAGGGAAATTGTTGTTTGCAACAATGGTACACAAGGGTCATGGATATATTTCAAACAACCACTGAGTGTTGCTATTATTAGCCCTCAAATGCCCTGGTACGGCCGAGAGTGAGGGGAGTCCGCTCACCCTCTCGAAATGCTCTCACATGGCCACGCGTATATATCCTCTGCCAGAGTAGTCCTACTCACTACCTTATCGTGGCAGGGGTGTAATTTACTAATTTGAGAGGATGAAAAGCAAATGTCCGACTGAGACTGTAACTGGGTTGGTGGACACGGAGAGTCCACCTAGGGGAGTTGGGAAACCTTGATTCCAAACCAATGGTGCACATGGGCTCCAGTATCCTGAAGGAACAAATGGTGTATGAACCAATCGTTGGTCACTGGCTACCATGGAACTGCATCTCCTGACGTTGCTCCACTGCCTTGTGGATCAGACCTTTAGGTCGAAGGCTCGGTGTGTGGTCCCCTAAGAAAATCACCTGCTTCGGTGTGGGCACCCGGGCAGTATCACAGCTCTCACACAAATCAAATGGGATTTATGTGGGGCATATGTATTTGATTCCTCTTTGTACCAATATCTATGTGTTCAAATAATAATAATAATAATAATAATAATAATAATAATAATAATAATAATTGCTGCTACAGGATCTTGGATTCAACGTTTGTCCTCTTTTACTCATCGAGGCTTATATTACTGATTTGTTTACGTCATTTGAATAAGTGTATTAAGGCTAGAATCTAGAACATAGAGGAGGTGGGAGTTGAATATTTACACACAATTATATGTGCATTAATAATTGTACTCATTGTTTTTCATCACTGGGTCCGATTTCGTTCTTTCACTTTTACTCCTTAGGCTTTAGTCTATCGAATTATACCGGAAAATCCAGATGTTGAAATTTATTTACGAGATCATGTTAGTCGTATAATTAGTATTGGTGTTGGTCCCGGTCCAGATATAGCTGCCTATTTGGCATATGCACGTTGTCGTGGCTTCACTCAACGTATTGTTTATTTTGCCATTGATCAATGTGCTGGATGGGGCAATTATCTAGCTGCTTTTGATCGTCAATGGTCATCTGAATATCAAGTGTCTGTTTGGTTTAAAAGTTCACGTTTTAATAATCGGGATGATGTAGAGACACTACCAGATGCAGACATGGTAGTATTTAGTTTTGCTAATACAGCTCTTATGGCTAGTACTATTTGGCCGTTGTTACAACAGCGTTATCGATTCATCATTGTTTTAGATGGAATTAAAGAGGTAAGTAATAGTATAAAATAGATTTCTAATTATTTTGATTGTTTGGTTAAGTGATTTGTGGAGAATAATTTCAAGATGTATGAACATATGGGTGTAAAACTTAGCTTTTGAAAATAAACGATATTACTATTTGACTATTGATGTATTCGAAGCATTGCTCACATATGTTGGACCCATCAATTAATCACTGTTGAGGTTAGACACAGGTTACTAAGTAAAAATAGCAAACTGTTTAACGAGGTAGTAAATCCTCATCACTTGAGGGGTTTGGGTCATTTATAATGTATGCCTAAGCACACTCTACTAGGACATATGATGATCACGTGCTCAAGGATAGATTGCGAAAAAAGGGGCGGCCAAACTAACAAGTGGTATCATGGCCTAGGTTACCTGATTGGGTTCCGCGTGATTATCTTAAGCAGTGGTTGGAGATGTTGTGTGACATGACTTATAATTGGTCTCAATTGTGCAAGTGTAATTACTTTCGATGTTCTTTTATATCGAGTTCTTAAAACCATCTCGTGTTTTTTATTCCTTTAATTCATTCCTTGTTGAATCCTATTGTCTAGGCCTAATGTCTTTTACTACCACTGATACTGTTACTACATCTACTACTCTTACATTTATCTTGATCATTTCATCTCTTCGTACTGTGGTAATTTGATTGGGTGCATATATGTTCCTAGTTATAGATTGCTGATGACCAACTGACTCAACTCACGAATTATTGAAACTACTCAATAACACCCTTTCGTGACCCCCATTTCTTGCCACCATGGGAATTTACCAGTTACTATTTGCTATTAAAATTGTTGTAAATTCATCCTGATGACTGTCGTCGGTACTCATGCGATCCTTATTTTGATTGAATAGTTAATGAGGAGCTTTCGAGTCAGTTAACCGTCGATAATGTTGGATGATTTTCAGGTTATATCACAGATTGGCTGAAATTGTAAATGTGAATTCATTAAATCTTTACTAGTTTTAAGGTAACGTAATGTCCACGGGATCTGAATGTTGTTCTACACTAAATCGCACTTCATACTCTTAAAACCCTCAAAGAATTGTGCTAGATGCTAGAACGATAATCTGCTTGTGTTACTTGGCTGATTTGTTTATTTATTCAAACACATAAACATTGATACAAAGAGGCACCAAATAGATATGCGCCACATAAATCATTCGATTTGTGTGAGGGCTGGGATTGATGCCCGGGTGACAAAACCGAAGCAGGTGGTTTCTTAGGATTTCACACCCGAAGCCTTCGACCTAAAGTTATGATCCACAAGGCAGTGAAGCAACGTCAGTTGATGCAGTCCCATGATAGCCGGTGACCACCGATTGGTTCGTACGCCATTTGCTCCTTCAGGATACTGGAGACCATGTGCACCATTGGTTTGGAATGAGGGTTTTCCAACTTCCCTAAGTGAACTCTCCGTGTCCACCAAGCAACCCGGTTAAATCGCCGGACATTCAGTTGTCGTCCTCCCAATTTCGTAAACAACAATTATGTCGCTTGAAGGCAGTGGGTAGGACTTTCCTGGCAGAGGCTATATACGTGTGGACATGGGAGAGCATTTTGAGAGGGAGAACTGACTCCTCCACACTCTCGGTCGTACTAGGGCATTTGGGGGATACTTGTCTAAAGTCATTTGGTAACAAGCTTTATATTTAATTATCTTGCTAGTAAACATAAGGCGGCATATTGTAACATACGAATTCATGCCACCACTAGTTGCATTTTTAAACATAATTTATGAGCTATTCATCTTGGAACTGAACTATTCGATTCGCCTACAATCTAGATGAAGTTTATATTCCTTTAAAATGTTCGAATTCGTATCGTATTATCTCATAATATATAAGATCATTAAAGGTTTAAGCCATTTTTTTATGACTAGCAACTACCCTTAATCCCCCTTCCTAACATTTTATTGATTTTTTGTAAGATACCAAGTCGATATTATTAGATGATGATAATTTTTACAGTTTAATATATATGACAATTCTTTTTTGTTTTGGTGTGGGGGGGTGGCATCTGATAATTGTCATTACCAATATACACATTTCTGTATTCTATTTTGTTATTTTTCTTTTTAAGGTTGTTGTTGATAGTTTCTTGAATGCTGGATATAAAGATATTACTCTTACTGAACGAACAAAAGTATATTATCATTTTAATGGAATCTTTTCAATTGATTCATCTACAACATCAGATCATGTTGTATACAATTAAATTGTATTCTTCTTTCTTTCTTCTTTCTATTTTTTTTGTTTGTTTACTTTTGTTTTTCTTTTTCTTTTTTCTACAATTTCTCATTGCTTTTATACACATTATTTTGTATGATAGTTTTAAATGGAACAACTGCCTTTATTTTTTCTTTTATGAAATTTCATTGTTCTCTCCTCTTTTGTTTTGTTTTTCTTCTATCAATTTGATATTTCTACATTTGTCATCGTCAAGATGTGGAAATCTTAACGATGGTCAATATTTTGCATAAAATAAACATTGTCGTACACATTTATATTTTGATTCTATAACTTTATATATATATATATATATATATATATATATATATATATATATATATATATATATATATATATATTGGTACAAGGAGGTACCAAATATATATGCTCCACACAAATCTCATTTGATATATGTGAGGGCTATGAAACTGCCCGGGTGCCCAAACCGAAATAGGTGGTTTTCTTGGGGGGGCCACACCCTGACCCTTTGACCTGAATGTCTGATCCACAAGGCAGTGGAGCATCGTGAGGAGATGCAGTCCCATGGAAGCCGGTGACCAACGATTGGTTCATACGCCATTTGTTCCCTCAGGATCCTGGAGCCAGCCCATGTGCACCATTGGTTTGGGATCCGATTAAAGCGCCAGACATTCGCTTTTCGTCCTCTCATTTTCGTAAACAACACCTGTGCCACGAGAAGGCAGTGAGTAGGACTTCCCTGGCAGAGGCTTTATACGCATGGCCATGTGATTTGTGGTGATTGTTGAATTTTGCGCTTCATTATCACGAAATGACTCTTGATTAGATAATCATTTGAAGCTTAAAAATCCTCTACAACAATTTCGTCTTAGTGTATTACTCCTCATCAATGCGGAGTTATAATTCTGCTGAGGTTCGAACCCAAGACCTTAGGGTGATTGTTAAAAGTATTCGAATATTAGATAAGTTAGTCGGTATCCAGGAGGTTGCGAGCTTAATTTTAATCAATTCACGGTATTAAATAATAACTGTACAATGTCATTTGTGGACATGTACCTCACATCTGGAATAATTGGAATTCACAGCTTAAACAAATAAATCAGTGAACGCCGGTTCAGTGGTTTAAATGTTGTCTATCTGAATGCCTGAAATTCCTGGGGTGTCGTGGATACATACTATTGAGTAGTCCTATACTAGGACAGAGTTGTTTTTAACAATAATTTCGCTATGGTCAGTTCGTGATGAAAACTATAAAAACAATTTAAATCAAGTGTCCTGTCTTAGTCTGAACACTTAAGGCTCTACATAGAATTGTGTTATACTGGAATTGATTAAAGTTGGATACGTAGACCTATTTCAATCAACTCAGATGGTTTCATGATTGACACAAGGCAGGAAGGTCTTAGTTTTAATAATGAACTATGTGATCTTAGCATTGACTATTGATGAGGTTTTCCAAATAAAGGACGAAACATCCCTCGTATGTTTTCTTCTTTTTTCATGGTTCTCAAACCGATGTAAGTTTACAATAGAAATTACTTTAAAATATTAAAACTATACATAAAGCAGAGAAAAATTTCTTAATTAGCTATATAGTTATTATGATGTAAGTATGAGTATATGTAATTGATATTTGTTCAGATGATTTAATGTTAGCCAATATGTATATAATCAAAATAAGAGTTTTGTGGATATGATAGTAAATTAATAGTTGATTTAATGAGTCCGAACTGAAGAATGTGGTTTTCTCAGAAGGCCACACCCGGAGCCTTTGTTCTAAAGGTCTAATCCACAAGGCAGTGCAGCAACGTCAGGAGATGCAGTCCCGTGGTAGCCAGTGACCAATAATTTGTTAATACGCCATTTATTTCCTTAGGATTGTGATGCCCATGTGCACGATTGGTTTGAAATTAGAGTTTTCCTACTCCTCTCGGTGGACTCTCCATGTCCACCAACCCGGCTACAGCCCCAGTCGGACATTCGCTTTTCATCCATTCAATTTCGTAAATAACACCCCGCCACGAGATGGCAGTGAGTTGGACTTCCCTATCAGAGGCTATATTCGCGTGGCCTTGTCAGAGCATTTCGAGAGGGTGAGTGGACTCTCCCCATTCTCGGCCGTACCAGGGCATTCGGGGGCACTGCTGAGGAGTCGCATACTAGAACGAAACGTTCATCCAGTACTTCCAGGTTTTCCATGATGATCTAGCTTCAATTGCCTTATGAATTCAACTATTAAAATTATTATGTCCGTAAAATATATGTAAGTCATTTAATGGATCATTGTATAAAATTCAAACTTTAAGCGCAATTTTTAATTGTTTTAATTCAATAGATGGCCAGTGTAAAACATTCGTTTTTGGAAAGTAAAGTTTATCAATGAACCAATCGAATGTATCTTTAATTGATTTTCACATTGTTTATATGAGTTAAAATGGATAGAAATCTAGTGATGTAACAAACATTACAGTATTTATCAACAATTGATTTTTGTTGTTAGTAACATGATTAAATTGAACATTCACTTTGAGTTAGAAACGATCATATAATGTTACTTAAAAGATTACTTACTTACGCCTGTTACTTCTAGTCGAGGAGCACTGTCCATTCAACCATGTCCTGGGCAATCCTTTCTAGTTGCTATTCCTCCTTTTCATGTTTGCTTCCAATTCCCGATACAGTGTGTTCTTTGTCCTTCCTTTTTACCGTTCGTCTTCAGGATTCCAAGTTACCGCACTCAAGAGATAGTCTTCCGAAACAAAAAAAAAAACTGAAGCACTCAACATCAAAGATTAGACATTGTTCGTCAGTGATTATGTTCTTGGTTACGATGCTTAAATTTAACACCATGCAACAAATAAACAAGGTCTGCTGTTGTGTATGAGTTGGTAATGTGCTAATTAGAATAGACTTAATATGCCGATCATCAACTAGAGAATCGATAAAATAAATTGTATACCATTCACCAGGTACTTGGATATGAGAGCTGACGAACCTGCGCTATTGCTCAAACAGATATCTGTGGAGCGGTGTTCAAACCTAGGCCCTAATATCTGAAAATCATTTCTACAAACATATTCATAAATATTTGATTATGTAATAGTACTTAATTTATCATCATCTAACAAAATATTTGGTGAATAATTACCTGATACAACTCGAAGTAATCTACTCATATGATCAGAAAATGCATTGTAAACTTGCGTTGTCGTACTGTGGGGTGTGTTACTTATATTCATGTAAGTAGTATATGACGCGAGTTAGGAACGTAATGTCTGGCAGCAGAAGATGGGGGAAGATCAAGAAAGGAAGAGCGGGAACACAATGGAATTTGTATGGGAACTCATGAACAGTGAAACATCAGACAATGGATTGATGTTTACAACAGGAACAGTCCAGTTTGATATGACGGATTGGTATTTTGCAAATAAACGATTTATTATATGGTTGTTAATTCGAGCAACTTATGATGTTAAGTAGAGTGAATTAAAAAATTATATAGAGCTTCCCCTCTATTGATGCATTATTTTTATGATCACTTATCGGTTCTTTTGTCTTAAATCCAACATCATCACTCACAAGGTTTTATATGTTTGTAAGTAGTATCTTAAATGACTTTCAGGTCTCTTGGTGTCCATTGTCTTAGTGAATATATCATGTCAGAAGTATTCACTTTTACTGAAGCTGTTGTACTGTATACTATTCTTACATACTTATAAGAGCGGTTCTGGCAATCATTTCATTAAATAACTGTTGAGTCGGCTTCTGAGAACTACAACGCAACCTCTAGAGACCGAAGAGTTTCCAGCCAATCAAAACATGATGGAGCTTTCTAGAATCTCGACGTGGCATGCTACTATAGGACAGTAGCATATTGTGTCTTTGCGGATTGGCCGGATTATAAAGATTTAACAAATGCTAACATCTATAAATACCCGTGATTTTCTGTACATTTCGATTCTTACCAAATAAACACCTTTCGAGCTTTTTTCTAAAAAAGGTGTTATATCCCGATAAGCATAATGAATGGTAACTTTTGGAATCCATATATGGACCAATACTATACGTATATTTTTATCGTATAATTGTTAAATAACTAAACTATACGTACTCATGTCTCTCTTATTATGCGCTTTATTTTGACCCATAGACTATTATCATACGATTTACCATTCTTAAGTTATGCTCTGTCTATCAATTACTATCTCCCTCATTCACAGCCATATTTGGCTAAATCTTGTACATATGTTGTTTCCTATTTTATGGTACGATGTGATCTGTCTGGTTGGTATATAAACCCAGTATGTTTGAAATATACATGATTCATATTGCAGAAGCTGAGATTAGTGTTCTCGACTTAACAGGCTGGGTTAGGCGGGAATTAGGACAGATAAAGACTCTAGACTGCTCGTACTTGTTTTATGCGTCATTGGTCTGATCGATAACTCACTGTTCTGTAATTGGCCATATCATCACGTTATACATTAAACAGGGCATAGGTTATAACACATACTATCCAGTACTGACATCTCTAACAAGAATAAATATGAATCTCTTCTGTTCAATTTTTTGTTGTTGTTAATTCATGTTAAAATAAAATATCATTTCATACATGTTTGAGTTCTTGATCAATAATTTCACGTCCAAACTATCAAGTACTGTCAATTTCTCAATAATCCAACATCTTATAATTAATAATTGAGTTGATGAACCAATTAAAGCTAGACCACCATGGAAAACCTGAAAGCACTCGACGGCCGTTTCGTCCCAGTATGGGACTCCTCAGTAGTGCACATCCACGATTCCACTTGCGGGACTCGAACCCAGGAACTTTGGTCTTGCGCGCGAACAGACACGGTTGGACTCCACTAGTCACGGCCTCTTATAATTAGCTTATTATATTTACTTCATTAAAATCAGTCATTATACAGATGATACTTATGATCTTAATTTGATAATATACACTTTGATATTGATCATCTTTAATATATATATTCGATTAAGCTAAACTATACTATCTATTTTAGCATTGAAACATTGATTAGGATAATGATTGTAAATGATCCTTACAGGCTTCATTTTTGATGGTCCACAAATATACTTCCAAATACACTGGTACGTCCGAGAGTGAAGAGGGTCAGCTCTCCCATTGGATATAGTAGATCCACATAGGGGGAGTTGGAAAGCACTCATTCCGAATCAATAGTATACATTAGCTTCTGAATGCTGTAGGAACAAATGGCGTATGAAACAATAATTGATCGCCGGCTATCATGGAACTGTATCTTCTTACATTGCTCCATTGGCTTGTCGAAGGCTCTGGGTGTGACCCCCCCCTCCCTAAGTAAAACCAATTGTGGTGCGCATATGTATTCGATACCCTTTTTGTACCCATATTTATATGTTCAAATCAATAAAACATATAAAATACAAGAGATATATTTCAATGTTTGTTGGCACAGAGACATATCTTATTCGTTCCATTTTATTTAAAACAATAATAATAACATGTATGAATCTCCTATAATGTTGTTATGTAATTTATTTCTATATATATATATATATATATATATATATATGTATAATTGTATAAACCTAAATAGGATTTTTTTGTTTTTTTTGTAACTAAGTTACGTAACCATGTGAAAATCTACTAATCTAGACTTGAGAACAACAAGAAGAAGCAGAAGAAAAAGAAACACAATTGAAACTGATTATATTTTGTTTATCTATTTAGATTGTTGTTGTTGTTGTTGTCTTTTCTTTTTTTCTCTTTTTTTTCTTTAAAAAAAAAAAAGAAACGAGAGAAAGAAAAGTGTTGGAAAATGATAGTTTCCTTTTTAAAAAAAAAAAAAAAAAGAAAAAAATATAGGAAAGAAAGAAAAAGACAACATAGTAGAAGAGATCTATTCAAGTTGGTACTATAATGGCTAATTCTCCTGAATTTATCATAGAACTACGATGATTATTATGATTATTTAAATAAATTGACCAATCAATATCACGTAATAATAGAAAATCTTTTAATGGTACTGGTATAGGTAATAATGGTAATGCTTCAATAAGACGAAAACCTAAACGTTGTCTTATCACTTTACGACACCATTTTTGTAATGATTTCACTTCAAGTAAACCATTATAACGTCGTGTTAAAAGATTTTGATTAATAAAATGAGAATTTTTAACTGTTGAATTGATTGTATTCGTTTCGGTTATATTATTGTTCGATGTTGACGACGATGATGCTGACGAGGATGATGCTGATGCTGATGCTGATGAAGATGAGGAGGAGGAGGAGGTGGAGGATGAAGTTGCACATACTGATGATATACTATTTGAATGAATTGGTAAATGTGTACAAAAACAACCAACTTCAGCTAATATTCTAGCCATATCAAGATGTCCACGTTCTAATGCCATTTTAAATGGTGATTTTTCATATGGATTTATAAATGTACGATTATTCGATTCCGATTGAATCATTGATGTTATCATAGTATTTTGTGTATTTTTCAATAGAGTTTGATAATTAGAAGATGATGATGTTAGTAAATGTATATTCAATGGAAGACGTTTAGCTGGTCTATCCAAATCATAATTATATGCAAGAAATAAACGTAATAATTCTAATCGATTATATGCAATAACATCATGTACAAATGATTCACCCAAATTGTTATAATTATATTCAATATACCAATTACCTGTAATGTGATATAAAATAAAATTAAGAAGATATCAAAATTCATATACATTAGTCATTATGTACATATACGTACGAGCGCTAGGATACTACCCGGATGCCCGAACTGAAGAACGTAGTTTTCTTAGAGGACCACGGCGTCAAGCCTTCGACCGAAAGCTCTAATCCATAGGGAAGTGGAGCAACATCAGCAGATGCAGTCACATGGTAGTCAGTGACCAACAATCGGTTCATACACCTTCTCATCCCTAGGTATTCTGAAGCTGATGTGTAACATTGGTTTGGAATGAAGGTTTTCCAACTTCCCCTATGTGGATCCTCCATAATCATTAACCCGGTTAAAGCATCGGACATTTGCTTTTCATCCTCTCAATTTCGTAAATAACTGTCTGTTCGCTTGAAAGCAGTGAGTAGTACTTCCCTGGTAGTGGTTGTATGCACGTGGCCATGTGAGCGCATTTCAAGAGGGAAAGCTGACTCCTTTCACTCTCGGTCGTACCAGGGCATTTCGGGGCTATGTATTATAACGCATTTAGTGTTTCAAAACATTACTGAAAAAACTTATTACGGTTCTACTCAGTCTGTTCAGTGAATACATAATTTCTATTCTATAAAAAATTACATGAATGCTATCTCCTTTACAATATTCATCTGTCTTATTGTGATCGTCATTGTTTTGAACACTGTTGGGTCCCCTCGGAAATCAGACTTTTCAGCTGCTTTGTTCGTTTTACACAATTAGTAAGGTATTCTCAGATAACGACTCACATCAATAAAGGGAAACACTGATGATAAAACTGTACTCACTGAGAATCGTTTAAAGTGTTGTCCATCATCATTAATTCTGATTGTAAACTGGGGAGTAGATGTTCAATATATTTATCAACCGAGGATGTGGACAGTTCGACTAGGCATGCATCACCCTAGCAACTTTTATAGCTCGAAATGAAACACTTGAATCAGCGAGACTACAAATTATGGACGAACTAATCAGGTGTAAGATAACAGGTCTCGGATTTTCGCGCGAAATTTACTCATCCATTTGGATAGAGTTTTGACATTATAGCTTATATCAGTTGGTGTTGAAAACCTAAAATCTAATTCCTAACCTTATTCATCAACTGTAAATTATAATTATAATTCTTCACACAGATTTATAACCCTCATTTGGTTCTGGTTATTAATTGGATACTCTCAGACGCCCCACAATGATAGTATTTCTCGACCTTAAGGCGGCATTTGACTCTCTTGATCGTGAGGTTCTATGGCAGTGTTTGTCACTGAAAGGAGTACCAAAGAAGTACATTAACCTTATAAAGGCTCTCTACTCGAACACAACTGGTCGAGTGAGAGCTTATGGCGAACTGTCATCAGAATTGATTACCTCAAGTGGTGTTCGTCAGGGCTTTCCACTCTCTCCATTCTTGTTTAACTTTGTTGTTGAAGTCTTTTTAAAGATGACACTTTCCTCATCTAAATTTCCAGTTGAACTTCTACCGGGAGATCCACTTGTTGACTTAGAATACGCAGATGACATAGTTTTATTTGGTGAAGACGCTGACAAAATGCAGAGTCTACTGACCACTCTAAGCAACAATGCAAGCATGTTCGGCATGCGGTTTTCTCCCTCGAAATGCAAAATGTTGCTTCAGGATTGGATTGCGTCGACACCCGAACTAGTGATAGGGAGTGAAGTAGTTGAGCGTGTCGACCACTTCACTTATTTTAGAAGTCTTATCAGCCCTTGTGGTCTGGTGTGTGACGAAATCTCAGCACGGATAAAAAAGGCTCGACTAGCTTTTACCAAAATGCGTCAGTTCTGGAATAGGCGAGATATCCGTCTATCAACCAAAGGACGTGTTTACCGCGCAGCAGTTCGTTCCGTCCCACTTTATGGCAGTGAAACATGGCCGGCAAGAGTAGAGGATATTCGTAAGTTACTAGTATTTGATCATAAATATCTTCGAAACATTGCTCGTATATCCTGGGACCACCGAGTAAATAACTCAGTTGTTAGGAAACCGGTACTAGGTAAGGATGGCAAATCAATTGATGAAGTAGTGAAACTTAATCAGCTGAGATGGCTGGGACATGTGTTGCGCGTGCCCGATCACCGACTTCGCCGACGTGTGATGTTTTATGGTGTAGGAGTAGGTTGTAAAAGAAGGCTATGGTCGGCCGGAACAAAACATGTCAGAAATCCATGAAATCACTGACAAGTGAACTGAGCCATGTTGGTAGGTATAGACTAACTGGTTGGGGACCGCGAAATAATAGCAACCAATGGTAAGAGACCTTGAATGACATGGCTCAAAATCGTTTGCAATGGCGCAGGTGCATCCACTCTTTGTGTTCTCCCAAACTCTAATCTTCTGAATTCTCCATGTCCTTTATTTTCTTTCCAAATATATTCCACTGGACTATACTCCTTTAATAACATCATCAAACCCTAATGTTCCCTATCACTATTTATACTTTCACTACCTCTATCACTACGGGATTCGAATCGATAACTGAATCTCTGTGCTCATGTGGTATGGCAACTCGAACTGATGTACGTACGTACGAAGTTCCACGTTGTTACTGACTGACTGGATACTCTCAAAGTTAATCTGCCTGTTGCTCAAAGGTTGTCCATATTAGAATAAAAACCCGTCTCGTTCAAGGTATTAACCTTTGTGTGAATAGCCTTGCTATAAAATCAATCATAGAGATCGAGATCTTCAATAAAATGATTTATTGACTTTATCCAATCAAGAATTAGCTTAAAAAATGTAGACTATTTCATACAGGATGAATGATCTAAGGATATCATGATGTTAGAATGGAACATTATGTACCCCATTGTTGAAGAGTCTTAAAGTAGAACTATACAACTATCTTGTACATCACTTGATATTGTTTTATTTGAATGTTCCCATTGATGTTTAGGACTGAAATTGTTCAGTCTCTTATTGACATATGTGGATCCTGTGTGTATGCCTCAATATTGCCTTAATTTACAAGCATTCTAAGCAAAGATGAATAGTGGCTAGCAGTGGAATCTAGTTTGACAAGCGTTTCGTTCTATTTGGGACATGTCAGCTGGTACATGCAGGTACATCCAGCTGACAAGTCCCAAATAGGACGAAACGCGCGTCTTGGATTCCATTGCTAGCCACTATTCATCTATGCTTATATCCTGTACATCATTTAGAAAAGATATTATCGATTTACCTGCTCTTAATAATATTTCTACAATATGTATATAATTCTTTTTTACTGCAATATGTAATGCTGTATCTCCAGTGCAAAAATCTCTTTTATACAAATCAATATCTTTATGTTTTATTAATAAGCTAACAGCTTCTCGTTGATTATACGATACAGATTCCATTAATGGTGTTAAACCAATTTGATTTTGTGCATTTAAACGGGATTCAGCCTGATAAAATCAATGAACAAGAAGAAGAAGAAGATGATGATGATGATGATGATGATGATGATGACGAAGACGAAGAAGAGACATTAAAAGACACTTATGTAATAACTGAGTAACCAACTACAATAGTACAAACTTGTCATATTTCGTCATAAGGATAACAAGTTGTGTTGCCTAAAGTTGTCAAACATTGTCTAGATCACATGTCTGCTCCTGTTGTTGTACTTTGGGATAGATAGTGACTGTTCGTGTGTGAAATTCAATGACAGATGAGACTGATCTATTCACATGATAAACTAGGGCGATTCATATGAAACTGGTTTACCTTTGGTATTGTCATGAGATTAGTCTAAACTTAAAATGATTGGTAAGAGTATGAAATCCGACTACTTGACTTTTAGAATGCTTAGTAATCGTTTATGTTCAATAATTGTTGTTATCGAATTATTATTGTGACGAGTGGTGAGATTGTGTAAGTAGAACAAAATTCTAGCAATCGTTGTTCTAGCACAATGATAATAATTCAGTTCATGTCATCATCTTAAAACATTGGCTCCAGTACCTTGAATGTATTCCATGAAAGTTGTTCAGTGAGTAAATCGTTTGGAGTGTGAATGACACGTGAAATTGAGTTTATTTTTCTCAATTCACTAACATATATTCATATCTTAAGAAGGATTATAGATGCTTGATTGTACAACATAGTAAGTATTTCTTTACATAGCAACTTACTGAATGACTATTGTTAAATACAAGTAAATACAACTTATACAAATCTAACTGTAAATAAATCACATATAATGTGGTATATTGAAAGATCATTTTTTAATTTAATAGTTGCCCGACCTTTGTTGCTACTTTAACGTGGTGGTTGGTCTTGCTTATCGTGATGAACCGATCGAGCTTAACTGCTAGGAAAATCCGTTCCTCAAGGTCCCACCATGCCAGACAGGTCATTTGAAGAGCGATAAGACTAAAAGCAACAAATCCAACGTCCGAAGGCGAAGTCGTACTGCTGACCTTTACAGAGATGTGACAGCAGTAAGGTGTTCCCTTCAGACAACCAGCATAACGGCGGTGTTGCCGTCCTAGAAGGAGGGGTGAAATTAAGAAAGGTCGATCCTAAAAATGCACACCTCATCATATCTCACAGATATGCGTTTCCAATGGTAAGGTCTCAATAAGTACGGAGCTAACACGAAAACTACTCATAAAAAGGTCGTGTGTGACCGACTTCAAGCAGTTGTCTCTTGGGCACTGTGGTCACTCTCTCAGGTCACTAAGACCACCTCTAACCCGATTTCCTTTTCAGGTAAGTTCAGAAAGACCCTTCCACGGTGTGGGCGACCGGGAAACGATAACCGCCCCCATACCTCTAACAGCACTCAAGACTAACTGACTGAATTTAATAGTTAAATTCATGAGTCAATTAAAGCTGGACGACCATGGAAAACCTGGAAGCACTGGATAGCCGTATCGTCCTAGTTTAGGACTCCTCAGCAGTGCGCATCCACGATCCCTCTCGCCGGATTCTAATCCAGGATCTATCGGTTTCGCGTACGCGAACGCCTAACCAGTAGACCACTGAGTTGACATTCAATGGTGTTAATATCTAACTTCAACAAAACCCCTTTCTGATTCATTTTAAGAGTCGAATAAATCTTTATCAACAGTCTTCACCTTTTATAATTCATACCTTTTCTTGTATATTCATCAAATTGCCGTGTAGATTTAGTCTGATGTCTATAAATTTATGATAATAAGATAGAATAACTTACTTTAATTAACATTCTAGTTATTTCTGTAGATCCTTGTCTACAAGCAAAATGTAAGGCTGTTTCATCATTACGATCTTTTACATTGACATTAGCACCAAATAATAAAAGTCGTCGAACAGCCCAAACTTTACCACTACGTGCAGCTTTCATTAATGGTGTTTTATTTGTAATATCCTAAAGTAGTTAAAAACAATTAGAAATTAATATAAAGGTGATTGTACAATTTCATCTATATACATTTATTTATATTCCTCACATTTATGTTCAATGATGGATATCTCCATAAACTGATATCGATAGGAATGAATTTTCGATAATAAAATGAACTGAATAATTGTTATATCCTAGTTTATTAATTCCCAATAAAGTACATATATCAATGATCCTACATGAGATGACTTCAGTAGTGTGTATCCACGATCTCCGCCACCCCCCCCCCCCGCCGTCCAGTACTTTCAGGTTTTCTATGGTGGTCTAGCTTCAATTGACTAATAATTTTAACTATTGAAAGAAAAGATTACTAAGATATCAAAGAACACTGAACAGCTGTTTCATTTTGATTTAATCCGACAAGTTAGAGGTCAGATGAATGTTTATTGATAAAACAGAATCTAGTTCAGTAAAGTAAACTATGTATCTGGTATGAGTGTTTATATAATCTATATACATAGTTTTTGATCATCCATTTACATCTTGAGGTGTATTCTACAATCTGAACTATCATTTTGTTTGGTCTTTAAGTGTTAAGCCTACATCGTACTGTGATAACTTTGAGGCAATTTTGCGCTACATACTACTTACATGCTATCTTGACAGTAGCGTCAATTACAATGGATTAGTGAAGTCATTATCTGAATTTCATGTTATTTAGTGAAGTAGTCAAACAACTAATCAATGCTGAACCAGTGTTTTACCTTAGTTTATAAATAGTGTATCATATTCGTTAAATAACCCGATGCTATCTGAACCCTGTTCCCATCTTTTATCAGCCGTTAGTTTTCTTAAACAAAGATCTTAGTCTCAATATATTGTCAATGACTCATGATCTTAATCATTGAAATTACTACAATCTCCACAAAACCCCTTCTGATAATAATCAACATATGCTCACTAGTGACTGGCTTCAAGAGGTATATCCTGGAGTTCTAGTCAGAAGTATTGACCAGTGGAGTTCAACCAGGTTTGTTGTGGGATAGTAACTCACTGAAGACAATGGTGGATGTGTCGCTCAATTTCCTGGATTAGTTGAAGTTAGACATTGACACCGTTGGATACCGGCTCAGTGGTCTAGTGGTTAAGTGCTCGCGCGCGAAACCAGTAGGTCCTGGGTTAGAATCCGGCGAGAGGGATCGTGGATGCGCACTGCTGAGGAGTCCTAACCTAGGACGAAACGGCCGTCCAGTGCTCCCAGGTTTTCCATAGTGGTCTAGCTTCAGTTGACTCATGATCTTAATCATTGAAATTACTACAATCTCCACAAAATCCCTTCTGATAATAATCAATATATTGTGTTTAAAAGATAACTTTCATTCTCCAACATCTACAAAGTTGGTTAATTGTCCAGTACTATCTTCTCATAATTGTTCAGTTAAGATTGTCAAGTAGATCTGTTTGAGAACATGATCATTTTGGTAGTTTTATGAAATCGATTACATCCTCTGGAAGAATCCACTTCAAATCAGTTTTAAAATATAAATATTGATACACATTTACATAAATCATTCATAAAAGAATGTACCTGAGCATCAACACAAGCACCATTGTTCAATAGAAGACTGAGTAGTCCACCATCGCCATCTTCAGCTGCATAATGTAATGGAGTATTTCCAAATGTATCACGTGCATCAATTTGTGCTCCAGCATTTAACTTAAATATTTGAAAAGATGGATACAATTATTGTCAACAAAATGTTAAAAAATGGTGATAATTATGGGTAAAATAGATTACAGTACAGTAATTTGTTTGTGCAAATGATGTAATATGAAGTTAATTTCCATCACGTACTAACATTGATGGAGCTACTTCTGGAAATCGGGGAGCTTTAAATAGGGGTGTTTTGTTCCCATCTGTACTGCTCACTCAAAACCCTAATCGAGATTAAACTCAGAGTCTTAACGTATTATAGGCAGTCTGTTTTGTTAAGACCACCTCCAAAGATCTACATTACAAACTTTTTGATATAGAATGATGATTATCGAATATCGTCGGTGATGACTGGTTTACTTCATATAATGTATTGAACTTTACAACTCAGAACTTTTCACTAGAATTTTAGAAATCTATTTACGAATGAGTGAATGATATTTTCCTAAGATGGTTCACTGAAGGTACAGCGTCTAGATAAATGTTTGATCTTCTGATTTGTACTTCTCTTCATCTGGTCTACCGATTTTAAAAATCTTAATTAGAATCATAATGACTTATAAAAGATCAAGCATTTTATTGGCTAAAAGGTGGGAAACACTATCTATGGATATTTTAATGAGAAGTAAGAGATCATCAAGATGAAAGGTTTGTGGGAAAGAGATTGTATTTGATTGATTGCTTCCAACTGCCTAAAATCTCAACACCTAGCATACGAAATCTAATAACTTCAAATTGTGGGTACATTAAAACTTGATAGCTACAATTCGCTTAGGACTGAAGAATAAATCTGATATATGTCATTACTCAGTGATATGTCAATGTATAAAATGTATCTACTGCACTTTTTCACTTGGAACTAACACCATTGGATTATATATCCCATTCATAGAAAGTATGAACGAAATCTGAGTTAAACAGTAATTTGTGTTAACACATTGTCCGGATGTTCCATGTATCTATAAAAATTGTTGCTCTGATTGTTAGAAGGGACAACGACCTCATGACTTCCTAAGGAACTCGGCTTTCATCGTGAGGCGTCATAGTTCTTCTAAATGAAGACCTTCTAACTCCCAGGGCAGAGTTTAAATGGTTTGAATTATTTTTTCTGGTTAGCGTTTTTTTAGCAAGTTAGTTTTCTATGGAATGAGGTCGTTAACTCCATGCCTAAGCTTCCTCCTTTACCCAGGCTTTGGACCGGCAGTAACTCTAGAAGAGCTACAGGGTACAAGAATACATTACGTCGAGAAATAGAAGTAGATATCATAAGAATGAATAATAACTGGAATGAACTGGAAAGAATTGCCCAGAACAGGGTTGGATAGAAATTGCTGATAGGCGGCCTATGCTCCTCCACAAGAACAAAAACCTAGATCCAGAGTAATTTTTCTTCTACAGTTAGCTTCAAATCATCTAATGTCAGTATATTATTCAAATATATCCATACAGATATACAACTTATAAAACATACCAACATTTGAAGACATGATACTTGTTGACGTAAAGCAGCATAATGAACTGGACGACGTTGTAATGTACAAGTTGGTTGATGTACATTAACACCATTTTGTATAAGATAATGTAACATAGCTAAATTTCCTTTATATGCTACTAAATGTACTGGACATAGATCTGTATGATTTCTTTTACGAACCTTTCAATTAAAAATAATCAATAAAATAATCAATAATGAATATCAAATAATGGTAAATTAATTTATCAATAAAAAATGTAACATTTTAAAGAAATCAAAGGGGATACAGATCAAATGATCATTATTGATTGAATGAGTTATTTCACCAAAAAAACTTTCAAGAGGGGAAGTTAGCTACTATTATCTACGGTTAATTCAATGAGCCATGCAATTGAAATATTACGTAATAAGAATTTATAACTTAGCAATTGAGCAAAACATAAATAAGGAGCGTTTCAAGTTTCAGAAGGTTGTTATATCTGGTCGTCGCTGATTGTTGTGCTTGAAAAACGCTGATCATTTATACTCGAAACGAGAGACCTCTGCAATTCCCACAACGTGAAAGTAAGAACACAAAGACTGGTATAAGTGAAGATTTATTAGCTCCAAAACACTATGACAACGACTAGATATAACAATTGGCGACGGGGATGGGACAAAAAAAAACGAACCAAAGTCAGCCTGTAATTGGACGAAATCCAGTCTAATTATTTCGAGCAATCAGTACCTGAATTTGTCATCGGTGTCCTTGAATGACATTGTTCACTAGTCATACAGTATATATCATTACCGTTGATGATTCAGAAAATGACTCTCCCTTCAGATCGATTACAGTTGCAGTTTGAGCGACAGTTAAAGTTCTTAGTCAAATTACGCACTTATCTGCGGAATCACTGATGCTTTGGAGATGCGACGGAAGTGGATGGATAACTTTCTCAATTGCACACAGGGCTGGAAAATAATTACAGCCTCAATGAATCCTTGACAAATCGTAATTTAAACGAAACAGCAGACATCAACGATCCGCCCAGTGATCCAGTACTGTCCATTTCAGAAACGTGCCAGGTAACGGATTCGAATCCCATCCCTGTCGCCAAATTTGCTAGGTTTGAAGCCATCAAGAGTTCACTTAATCTGCGAACGTCAACAAAGACTCGGTGATTAAAGACCAATAAGCTAGATATTCTGATGCATCTCAACCCCGCTAACTAGAGGAAGAATCCCAAGCTTGAAATGGAGAAGTATATTCTGCAAACAGCCAGAAACGAGTGATCACAACAAACACAAATCAAAACATATGTATATACAGTGCAAAACCGTCTTTGGGGAGAGTTACCAAATAGCATACTAAAAGACGCAATGGACCAATAGCATTTAAGACATTTCACAGTTGGAAATACGACATGAAGGTGACAAGAGCGCCTTTGGCGTGAATACAAAGAAATTCAAACTTTTTAAATAAAATTACAAAACTAGGTCCTTTCCCAAGTGAGTTCTGGGGACCTAATGTCCCCAAAACTTTATAGCTTATTCATTGAGCAAACCATAAATATGGAGCGTTCTAAATTTCAGAAAGTGGTTGATAAGAAGAAACAGAAAAAAGTATACTATTCTATTTGTGATTTGTTGCAAGAATTAACATTAGGATAAACGTAAATACAAATAGTTTTAATAATTGAGATGATGAGTCAATTGAAGCTAAACCACCATAGAAAAACTGAAAGTACTGGATGATCATTTCGTCCTATTGTGGGACTCTTCAACAGTGCGCATCCATAATTCCTCTTCGCGGGATTCGAACCTAGGACCTACTGGTCTAGCGCGCGAACATTTGACTTATAAACCAATACGGTAGTCTAACTTCAGTTAACTCATGATTTCAACTATTAAAATGATTATAATATCTACAAACCTCTTTTAAATAAAATAAATCAACATCTTGAATTTCATCTTTGATATTATCCAAGATGATCTTAACTTTCAATCGAAGAGTTCGTTTCTATATTATCAAATGCAAATTCATTTCCATATTCTTGCATTGTTCCTTTGTACTAATTAAACTTGAACTAATTTTGATTCGTTTATTTATTGTTTGAAGAAGTGGCTTATACCCAATCACGAAACATCAGATCATCTAATTCTTTCTACTCAATGACATATCTACATCGATATTAGTTTTATTTATAACGATCTACCTAATGTTCAATTTATTCGAAATTATCAAGTTATACCTTAGTGATGATACCTACATTATCAGTAGAGGGGTGTTAATGTCTAACTTCAACTAATCCACGAAATTGAACGACACATCCACCATTGTCATCAGTGAGTTACTTTTTCTCACAACTGACCTGGTTGAACTCCATTGGTCACTGCTTCTCACTAGAACTCCAGGATATACATATTGAAGCCAGTCACTAATGAGCATATGTTAATTATTATCAGATGTGCACTGCTGCGGAGTCCTACAATAGGAAGAAACGGCCGTCCAATGCTTCCAGGTTTTCCATGGTGATCTAGCTTCAACTGACTCATGATTGCAACTAATGAGATACTTACATTGTTTAGATTTGTTTTAATTAAATAATTATCTCTATTATCTATATGTATTCACAAGCTTAAAAGTTATTGAGAAGTTAATCACTTGAAAATTTTAAAGGAATCCTTACAGTAGTTGATTTATTTTTCTTTTCTTCTTACTTATCCTTTTTTAGAAACTCAATGTGACTACATTCACTTGGTATTATTTGCTTGTATATTCCTATTGTTGTTTCCGACTGCGATTGACCAGTCTCTTGTTGGTATATGTACATCCTGTGCGGATTGCTTGTGATATTGCCTTAAGTCTCAAGCTTTATAAGTAAAGATGGATAGTGGCTAGCATTGAAATGCAGTGTGATGCGCATTTCGTCCTATTTCGGATTCGTCAGCCGATTGTACCTGCATCTCAGAGTTGATAATCACTCCGGGACTCGAATCCAGTACCGTTCACTTCAAATGCCATCGCATTATCCACTTAGCTACTGATTACATTTGAATTCATGTATCTAATATGTTGTGCAATGAGAAAATGTACCATTGAAGTAATAATGATGAAAAATGCTTCCGAATGAATCTTAATTTCAATTCATTGTTATAAAAAACTTGTTTATACATAACTCTTTGAAAATTTACAACTTGAGTAAATTTAACGCTGGACTTTGTTGAAATATTTTCTATTTACTGGCGAAGATCTTTTACTCCTTTCGACATAGTGACCGTCATTATTTCATTATATACATCATGGATTGATAGAAGTCCGACAACCATCGTAAACCAGTAAGAACTAATTAACTGCTCTATCCGTGCATGAAACCCAGCAGAATTAAACGCAGGACCTTTAGATCTCACAACAGGCGCTCAACCTTCATTACACCAACTCAATACCTATTAGTTTATAGATTTAAGTTTAACTAATTCGTGAAATTGACAGTTCAGTGGTTGGGTGACCTGAGAGACATGTAGATCTTGGATTAGATTGTTGGTGGGTTAGATGCTGGGATCCTGAAACAAGGATGAAACAGTTGTCTAGTGTCGTCTGGTTCGCAACAATTGTTTAACTAAAATCAGTCCGTAATTTAAATGATAAAATCAACAATTTCCACAAAACCCTATGTTATGTACTATGGCTGAAGACTAATATCACGTGATAAAACCGCCAATCAGAATCTTGACAGATGTGGCCTAGCATCTCAGAGTCGACTAATTACATGTCCAACTAGCACTAGTAACCTTGAGTCAACTGATCAGTTTTTATTGGTCCATGATTCTTAAGTTCTGTCTCTTGCATCCCTTCGAGTTCATAAGTCAGTAACCAGCTTCCACTATTTCATGTAACATTTCAACTTAGTAAACGTAGTTTATATACAGGCATATCAGGCTACATCATATCATGAAATGAAAAATGAAAAATACACGTGATCATGACAAAAAGCGGATGCGATTAGAGGAGACTAACTAACTAAATGGAAACAGATCAAGACTAGTAAATCGCGTAACAGTACTTATACAATAAGAACACAGATAACCATAGTTTATAAATTATACCTAAAAGCTACCATCCTTTTAGTCATCGTCCTGACATAAGACCCCATACAATAATTTTGTTGCTGTCATTATTTACAGATAGAAATTAAAAAATTCTTAAAATAATACAAGAGGTTAGCATATCTAGAAATCCCAACTGAATTTCTATTAGTAAGGGAGATTTGTGCAAGTTATAATAATATTTTGCACAATTGAAATAACGAGTATATCTAAGATAGTTCACCATTGAAAACCTTAAAACACTGAATGGTCGATTCGTCCTTGTACGGCATTCATCAGCTATGCGCATGCACAATCCCTCACATGATACTTGAACACAAGACCTGTGGTTTTGGGCGCTTGGTAATCAAGAGGTTAAGCGTCCATGTGCAAAACTAAAGGCTCTGGGTTCATATACTGTGTGCTAGATCGTGGATGTGCAACACTGAGGAGTTTCATACTAGAACAAAATAGCCATCCAGTGCTTCCAGGTTTTTAATGGTAATCTATCTTAGATCAACTTGTGATTTCAACGGTGTAAATTTCTATTACTCTAATAGCTAACATTATTAACAAATCGATATTTTTCTAATTGTTTATCAAGTTCTTTTAGTATGAACTGTCCTTGATGGGTATCACTTCTTACGAAACAACCAATATACTGTTGAATGATAGTCACGTATGCATATATATATGTATACCAAAGTGCATTATATGCATAATAAGATCACACTTCATCATCATCATCCGAAGCATCATCATCCAAATCATCATCATCCAAATCATCATCATCCAAATCATCATCATCCAAATCATCATCATCATCATCATCATCATCATCATCATCATCATCATCATCATCATCATCATCATCATCATCATCATCATCATCATCATCATCATCATCATCATCATCATCATCATCATCATCATCATCATCATCATCATCATCATCATCATCATCATCATCATCATCATCATCATCATCATCATCATCATCATCCGAAGCATCATCATCATCATCATCATCATCATCATCCGAAGCATCATCATCATCATCATCATCATCATCCGAAGCATCATCATCATCATCATCATCATCATCATCATCCGAAGCATCATCATCATCATCATCATCATCATCATCATCCGAAGCATCATCATCATCATCATCATCCGAAGCATCATCATCATCATCATCATGATCATCCGAAGCATCATCATCTTTTCTAGTTGTGGGAAAGAAATCAACTGAAAATATTCTTTGTTACATCAATTTACATTTTGTTTTTGGCACACATATACGTGCGTCCGTGCCTCATTCATAACTAAGGGCAAATTATCGTTATAGAAACTTCCTTATTTTGTTGAAATACTAAAGTAAAAGAAAAAAAAATCGATTTACCTGTTTTATGTACGAGTGTGTCTATCAACTATCAACTAAATGGATAAACAGGAATGTGATGTGTTATATGTAAATAGGTGGACAGTAAAAAAAAAAAGAAAAGCAAAAGAAAGAGATAAAGAAAGAAAGAAAGA